CCGCCGCCCGCCCCGCGCCCCCCGCGCCCCCCGCGTGACTCCCGCCGCGGGGACCCGGGAAGGCAGGCTCGGGTGGGACAGGAACCCAGGCTGCCCTCGGGCTTTGGGTGATGGATGTGCGGGTTCGGCGCTGGGGACCCAGGGAGAGAGTGGGTGGGTGACAATCACGCCCGAGGGAGGCTGCCGACTCTTGGGTCTCTCCGCAGGCTGCGTCGGGCGCACGCAGACTTGTGATTGGTGCCCCGCGTGTTGCTGTGCGTGTCCGGGAGCTGTTTGGCTACCCAAACAGACTGCCCTGGGCTCTATGGGTAGCTGGGAACGTTAGGATGGGCCGGGGGGTGGGGGGTGCACGTAATCCTACTCCAGGCCTGATGGGTGGGGGATGTATAATAAGGATAACTCGATCTCAGCAAAATGAAGGAATCATTTCAGTACCTGCTAATGGGGAGGGGGCTCCGTGGGAGAGACGGAGAGAGATAGAGATAGCAAATAGCAAGGATCAAGTGGGCGCTATAGTTACGGCAGGCAAGAAGTGGAGTCCAGAAAAGTCGCATGGGAGAGGCAAGTCAGCTACCCAACAGTGGACAGGACCCTGACTAATGGCCACCCCATGTGTGTCAGAGTAGAACCGTGCTCCATAGGATTTTCAATGGCTGAGTTTTGGGGAGTAGATCACCAGGCCTTTCTTCCAAGGTGCCTCTTTCTCTGAGTAGCACCCCTAGAACCGGAAGTGAGAGCAGGCCGCTTTAGCCCCAGTGAACAGGAGCAGGTGCTAATCGAGGGGCTCATTGCTCTCCACCTGCTTTTCTGTCCCTCCTTGGGAGGGGGATAGAGAGGGGGCATGGGCCAGGGTCCCTGGGATGGGCTTGTTACAGAGACACTGAGACCTCTAGGTGCAAACTTTTAACCTTCAAATTATCAATGGGAACTACCCTCCAAGGTAGGGCAGTAACCACCACATTCAGTGGCGTCCCAGATGGGAGACCTGGGAGCAGGATAGCACTAACGATGTAATTGCAGGCCTGGGAGATCTTGGGTCTATGTAACGGAATAAGCCAAACCTACATGAATAACACCATGGAGGGGAAGAGAGAATAATCAATTTTAAATCTGCTTAGATTTTCATAATCCAGAATAATTCGTGACAGGATCTGATATCTTGTTTCCACAGCGCAGAGAATTGGAAAGTATGTTTTGCATTTCTGCTACTGTTGGTTATACAAAAGAAGTATCAAATGGTTTCTGCCCTCCTGGAATATATTGTTAGCTGCAAAGGGAAGAAAATGGAGAGATGGTAAAAAGAAGAAAAACGAAACGAAACCCCAGCCTCCATTACTCCAGCTATGCTCCCAAGCCCTATTTGGGCAGAGAAAACAATGAGGGGGTGCCTCCAGGTAGGAAGGTATTGGGCCAAGTCGCTGGCTCTGCTCACGCCCTCCCACCGGAAACAGCTCTCCCTGGGGGTGCTCTGTGATTTCACAAACACACACTGCTCTTGGTACCCTTAGCACAGCAGATGGGCTGGTGGGACCCAAATGGTTGAATGAAGTCAACAGCAGGGAGCCCGGTCTTGAGGGCTCAGTTCCCTCCCACACTCTGTCCTGAAGGTGCTTCTAGCACCAAAGAAGGGTAGAAGCCTTGCATGACCGACAAGTGGCCAGCTGCCCCTGCTCCCGGAAGGGCCTCTTGTACAAAGGTCTCCTTATTTCTCACCACTTAGAGGCACTCTCCCAGGCTCTTTGCCATTTTTCTGAACCAAGACTAAAGGTTCCAGGTCCGGCACCAACTGGAATCTCCTTTCTAGAGGGCAATTTGACAGTACAGCTGAAAACATCTTTAAAATGTGCATTATTGTTGTGATCACTAAATTGGGACACAGCTATCCCACTTCCAGAAATCTTCTAAGGAGATAAATTACCACGTAAACAAAGACAATAGACAGCACTCATCAGAGCCCTATTTACATAATAATGAAAGATTGCACTCAACCCAGGCCTTCAAAATGGGGATAATACAATAAAGTATGGTCTATGTCTAGAATAGAATACTACGCAGCCATTATGATATTTTACAACTGCATTTGCTAACACAGAAAAAAGTTCACGATATATTGTGAGTTTATAAAAAAGCAGTTTATAAGAATTACAGTATACTGTTTTTGGCGTGAACATTACAGATAAAACACACACACACACACACACACGGGCGCACGCGCACACAACATTCTTTTCGTCTTTTGTCAGATTTCCCGTCCTCAGTAATATCTGGGATTCCCAGAGGAAAGCATATGTTCCACAAATTTCCAACGCCACTCATAGTTTGACCCTTCATGAAATCACACTGTTAACCAGTCCATTTCCAAAGACTAAAAATCTAAGACTTCAGCAGAATGCCACAGTGTGGCAATGACACTTCCTAACAGATGCCCTTTGGGACACAACCCCCAGGTGAAATAATGTCTCCAGCCCTCCCTGTTGTTGGCTGGCTCATGCTCCGAGTCTCCTGTGGCTAAGTCCCGGACAGAAGGAACAAAGAGGGCTCAGAGCCAGAGCCGCCCAAAACAGAGTTTCTTGCCCCTTGGGTGGAATCCAGGGTCCACCGCCTTGGACAGGGAAGAATACATCTTGATGGTCACTCCGTGGAAACATAGATCCAGCATTTGCTTTGTTATGCATGGCGGCTGCAAACCACCAGAACGTTAGAGGTGCTTGTGATGTTATTGGAGCCCTGGTGGTGCAGCGGTTAAGAGCTCGGCTGCTAACCAAAAGGTCAGCAGTTCAAATCCACCAGCCGCTCCTTGGAAACCCCATGGGGTAGTTCTACTCTGTCCTATAGGATCACTATGAGTCGGAATTGACTCAACTCAATGGGTGTGTTTTGTGTGTGTGTGTGTGTGTGCGTGCACCTTTATCACCAATAGAAGGCACAGATGTTGACATCACATGGCCACTGTGGCAGATTTCTTAGAATACCATTTACATTCATCGATACTTTGAAATCAGGGCAGTATCGATCCCACCTCCAGACATTTTTATTTAATCCTTTTATAACGAAGCAGATATACTGTTGTTATTAGGTGCCGTGGAGTCAGTTCTGACTCACAGAGACTCTGTACAACAGAACGAAACACTGCCCTGCCCTGCACTATCCTCACGATTCTAGCTACGCTTGAGCCCGTTGTTGCAGCCACTGTGTCAATCCATCTCATTAGGGGTCTTCTTCTTTTTCGCTGACCCTCTACTTTACCAAGCATGATGTCCTTCTCCAGGGACTGGTCCTGCCTGATAACATGTCCAAGGTACGTGAGACGAAATCTCACCATCCTCACTTCTAAGGAGCATTCTGGCTGTACTTCTTCCAAGACGGGCTTGTTCGTTCTTCTGGCAGTCCATAGTATGTATATTCAATATTCTTCTTCAGCACCATAATTCAAAGGCATCAATTTTCTTTGGTCTTCCCTATTCATTGTTCAGCTTTTGCATGCGTATGAGGCAATTGAAAAGACCATGGCTTGGGTCAGGCTCACCTTAGTCCTTAAAGTGACATCTTT